CATGGGCCCAGGATTGCTCTTGTTCAGGAGATATGTCTGGACAGTGGTCATGTCATTCTCACCAAAAGCTTCATCAGTTCTCAAATTCGGATGAAACAGATTTTCTTTAGCATGCCAGCCAAAGCCTCCCGCAATCTGATCCCACCCCCAATTACCACCTCTGCCAGTGCATCTGTTATAGACAGGGAGAGGGGTAGCCCAAGCCCCGCAAACCTGCCTATTCTAAATGGGTTCTGCCATCCGCCGCATCAACACAAAACATAGGAGACTTTAATGGGAAGGAACTTTAATAAAACTAGGAAACAATACAGGTAAGGCAAAGAGTCTAGTTTCTAAATCAAGCACCCAAAGTTACCCATCCCCTCGTGGGTAAAAGTCCATCCAAATGGGATTGGCCCAGAGCAAGGCCCCAAGGCCTGCCACAAGTCTAAAGCATCTTCCAGTGGGGACCCACAGAAAAGGGTCACAAACAACTGGACAAGCCCGGAAGGAAAAGAGCAAAATCAACATCAAGATAAAAGCTGCCATTGTCACCTCCCCACGGGTCTCACCGACATCTGTGTCACCTAGTCCACGACCAAAAGACAAGCGCAGTTTCTTCACGTGTCTCTAGGCTCCATTTGCCTTCTCCAGGTCTCCTGGCTCCATCCTGCTTCCTTCCTCAGTCTCTTCTGCAGCTTCTCCTCTTCCTGCTCAGCTCCACCCTCCCTTGGGTGGGGCAGGGAACCTCCCCCTTTCCTGGGGACCACCCTGTTGCACATCCTTCTAATCTTCTTGACGTTTCTCTCATTCTCCAGGAGTTGACTCATAGATCACCTCCTCCATGAAGCCTTCATCTTTGTTCCTCCTGGGCTCCATGTCTATTCCATGTTCTTCCACGTATGGCTTTCTACCTCTGTAGGTTTTTGTGTACACAGCAGTCTCTCTAGGCCCATATTCCTTACAGGACTGTCATTTGGGCATCCTTTCACTCCCTGTTTTTTTTTTTATTTAAAAGATTTGTTTTTATTTATTTATGCATACAAGAATTTGGATATAGGCCAGAGGTGTGGGAGGTGAGAGGATTCACTAGAGACAGAGTAGGGAACAGAACAGGCAGACTGACTGAAATACACTGCTGAGGGGAAGCAGTGGGCAAGCCAGGAGAGGCCTGCTGTGCCATGTGGGTTGCTTCCAGGCCAGGGATCGAACTTGAACTTGTGCTGCACTGGCTGTGGATACCTTCATAGAGCTGATGCTTAACACTTGCGTCACCAGAGAGAACCCTCACTCCCCATTTTGAGAATAGTATCTTGGCAAATGCTGGGCAAGAGCTCATCATTCCACCACTTCCAACCTCTTCCTCCCCAATGGCTTCAGTCATAAGAACCCAACACAGGCACTACAGGGTCTTACAGGATCTGATGTTCCAGCCTCCCTTTACTCCTTGCTTTTCCTGCAACACATCAGACAAGATCCTACCTCAGAACCTTGGCATTTGCTGTTTCCTTTAATGCCACCCTCTTTCCCCAGATAACTGCTCTCTCTTGCTTCAGTGTCTCTCAAGGCCACTTTTCCCTGAGGTCTCCCAGACCTCTCTATTCCCGTGAGGACCCTCCCCCCTGCTTGTTGTCCCTCCACAGCACAGATCATCTCTACACATTGTACATATTTGACTTCTTTATTCTTGTGTAGATTTTCTGTCTCCCCTCCCCCACTAGAAAGTAAATTTCATCCTCATTTAAATGTTTACATCTGTATCCCCAGAGCCTAGAGTAATTCCGAGCCTGTCAAAGGCACTCAATAAATATTTGTTCAAAGGGAAAAAAAAAAACCAGCAAATTAATAGAAGGTGCTCAATAAATATTACTTAAATAAAATGAAAAGTGTCAGAAACCAGTAACTGAGATTGCCAAACTCTAAAAATGTTGGTTTAGGAAAAGAGTGGAAGTGGCCTCATGATAAACAGCCTCCAGGAAAGATTAAACCCGTGTACCTGTAGGCAGCCTAACTGGGCATGGACAACGTCGGGGGTGGGGGTGGGGCCCTCTGGGGCCCGCCTGCCACTCCATTTGAATATTTGTTTGCTCCACAGGTGCTTTCTTTTAAGCTCATCCTCTCTCCGCAGCTCATAAAGGACATAAATCTTGGGGGGGGGGGCGCCTGACATTTCTCAGCTTTAAGTAGGAAACAATCAGGAGTGAAACTGGCTACGAAAACATCACCCAGGACCCGATTTGGGATCTTGGGGAAGAAGCAGAGTCCATTTTAGAGCCGTGGCGAGTGCAACTTTCTCTCTTTGCCCAGGCTCCGCCTCGACGCTGTTTATCTGAACATTTCCTCGCTGGCTCACTCCTTTGCAGACGCCTACTTTCCGCTGGAGGATGGCGCTCTGATCTCCAAGCTCCCTGTTCCCTCCAGGACTCCATAGTATTTTTTTTTTTTTTTTCTCTTTCACGCTTCGTCGCTACTACAGCAGACGCCTGCCTTCCCATTATTTGCGGTACAGATCTCCGGTGCCTTGACTGTAAACAAAACACTTTAGATCATAGCAAGGTCGATGTAAACACAGCCCTTCTGCTGGCAGCCAGACGTCTTAAGGTGGCGTGACTGTGGCTCGTGTACTTTCCAAGATTAACAAAGCAACAAAATGGTGCTTCTACTAGGGAGTTGAAGAAAGATTTGTGTGTGTGGAAGGGAAAGAACTACTAATTTTCTGCGCTTATGTAAGATATCAAGTCTTTGAATCAAATCAAACTTCCGTGGCAAGGTGGAATACACCAGAATATCCCTGTTTACATAGATGTGGGAGTTTGTGTATGTGTGCACATGAATACATCTTTACAGAATTTCTGTGTAGCCTGGCAATTTATTAAAAAATTTAGACAATGATCTACTTCCAGGAGTAGGTTATACATTATAGTATTGAGGCTTATGCTAATTTCCCTGGCCCTGTTTCCCTCTTTTGCAATCCAATACATGAAGGGGGGGGGCATAAAATGTGGGAAAATAAAAAAGATGAGATTTTGACCTATTTTGAGCTGGTGAAATCTTTCCTGTCAAGTAGGAAATCCTGCTTTTAAAACAAATTTTGGGCACTGCCTCCCTGGGGCTTACTCAGTCCTGTCCTTTTGGAATCTGCATTAAAGTTGAACAGTGGAGAGTTATACCAAAGGCCACTGACAGCTGCATGTAAATATCAGCGACCACAAGCCACATCAAGGAAACATCTGCAGGCTGCCCAGGGGCAAGCCAAGGAGCCATTTTGATTCACTTGTGAGATAGGGGGACCTGCAGATGACAGCACAGGCATGGGGACAAAATCCCCAACCAGCTGAGGGCATCAGAAAGGAAGGGAACAGAAGATGAACCAGCCTGAGATTCAGGGACCTGTGTATAGACCTGCCTCTGTTACCAAGGGGATCTGTGTCCCTGTGTTGGAAACTCTGAGTTTCTGTTTCCTGGGTGGTAAGAAAGAGGGGGTTGGACAACAGGGGTCCCCAAGTCCTTCTCCTCCACCCCCTCCCACCCCCAGTGTTTCCATTCTGGTGGGTCTAGGGTGAGGCAGGCCACAGAACGGACAAACAATATGTGGTTAAGAAAACAAGTTAAAAATCCAACTCATTGGTAGCCTAGGTGCCTAAGAAAACACCGTGTGGCTACTAAGAGAACTGAAGGAGTTTCCAGTAAAAGTTATAAACTTTGCCTCAAACCAATATTACGAGCAGGGGGGCGGGGAAGCAGTCCCAGACAGGAGTACCCTGCCCATCTTGTTTTTAACTTCCAGGGCCCCTGCTCAAGCCCACATCGATAAACTTCAGGTGGCAACAGGGGGCAGAGAATGCCCCAAAACTAAATAAGACGTGAGGGCATGGTTGGAATGGCTTTATAAATCACTTCATAATCTAGATTCTGCTTGCTTTCGCTCTTTGCACGGCTTGTAGCCTTCTAACCGCGTTCACTTGCCTCTGGATGTTGTTCGGGGTGGGCTGGAGCGGTGAATCCGGTGGGAGAGAAAGGCAGAGGAAGGAAGCTGTTGTATTTGGCGGCTAGACTCAGGTAGAGGAAACTACTATAACCCCGTCAACAACTGAAAAATATAAAGAGGCGACGAGTTGCCACACGCAGTGAACGCCAGTGGCCTTAGCTGCGCTTGGGAAGCATGAACCTGGGCCAGGCTATAACCTCGCTATTGAAAACTGCATCTGAGACAGCCCCCAAGTTTATATTGGGGACTTGGGCGAGCCGTCGAGTTTCTGATCTTAAAGTAATTTCTTCTTTGGGGTTCAGAATAGATTGTAAATGCTGGCCTGCTCCTAGCTGATTAATAGAAAGCCGTTCGCCCTTGCCTTCCGCCCTAAGCCCCTCGCACCCCTCCTCCAGCCCCCAGGAAAGCAGAGCAGAGACTTCTAGGTTAAGGGTGAGCTAACCACTGCTCACCCCCAGCCAAGGCACCCAGGCAGGGGGTCTCACAGCCGCCTGTCCAGTGTTTCCCCGCCTCCCTGCGGTGCAAGAGACGGGGGGCAGCGGTGGAGAGCTCCGCGGGGGGCAGAGCTCCCACAGTCCGCCTCCGCCCCCCAGCTGCCTGCTTCTCGGCTCTGCGAGTGCGGGGAAAACGAGCTCGCCACCGGGGCGCAGAGCCAGCCGCCAGCCACATCGAGCTCTAGAGGTGGAGGGATCACCCGGCGTCTCCCTAGTTCCCGGGTCGGGACTTGGCCGCGGCGGTGCATCGGGCTGCGCAGCGCTGCGACCGGCACCCAAGGCCCCGCCGCCGGGCGCGCAGGCCCCTCCCAGCTCCCCGGCCGTTTGGCTAGTTTGTTTGTCTTATTTTTAATTTCTCCGAGGCCGGCCAGAGCAGGTTTGCTGGCAGCCGTGCACCTCCAGCGATCACGCGACCAGCCAATCTCCGGGCGGCGCTGCAGGAGGCGGTGCGCCGGGGAGGCGGGGTGGCTGCGCACCGCGGCGGGCCACCTTAAGGCCGCGCTCGCCAGCCGGGGCTGGGCGGCTCCCGGCGCCCCGACCAATGGATCGCCGCCTCTGTTTAAATAGACTTGCGGTGTCAATCATTTTCTTCTTCGTCAGCCTCCCTTCCACCGCCATATTGGGCAACTAAAAAAAAGGGGGCTCGTCTTTTCGGGGTGTTTTTCTTGCCCTGCCCTCGCCCCACTTGCTCGCCGCTCCGCGATTCCGACGCCGGCAAGGTTTGGAGAGCCGCTGGGTGCGCGGGGGCCGCGGGCGAGCACCCGCCTGGACTTGGACTGGCCCGGCACCCCCTCCTCTCGCCGCTCCCCTCCCCTCCCCGCCCTCCGGCTCGCCAGTCCACTGGGGGCGGCCGAGACTTGGGGCTGCCTGGGCCGGGGCGTCCCCTCGCCCTCCCCCCAGACCCTGCGCGCTCCTGACGCTCGGGCAGTTACGCGCGGCTGTTTGTTGCTCTTGGCTCCGCGGGCCGTCGCTGGGCTTATAAGAGGGGTGCGCGCTGGTTCGGGGCGTTTTGTTTTGTTCGGTTTTGTTTTCGGGAGCGCGACACAGAGGCGGTCGTAAAGACCAGGGAGGAAGATGTCAAACGTGCGAGTGCCTAACGGTAGCCCGAGCCTGGAGCGCATGGACGCCCGGCAGGCGGAGTACCCCAAGCCCTCCGCTTGCAGGAACCTCTTCGGCCCGGTGAACCACGAAGAGTTAACCCGGGACCTGGAGAAGCACTGCCGAGACATGGAAGAGGAGAGCCAGCGCAAGTGGAATTTTGATTTTCAGAATCACAAGCCCCTGGAGGGCAGATACGAGTGGCAAGAGGTGGAGAAGGGCAGCTTGCCCGAGTTCTACTCCAGACCCCCGCGGCCCCCCAAAGGCGCCTGCAAGGTGCCCACGCAGGAGAGCCAGGATGTCAACGGGAACCGCCAGGCGGTGCCTTTAATTGGGTCTCAGGCCAATTCAGAGGACACGCATTTGGTAGACCCAAAGACTGATGCCTCGGACGGCCAGACGGGCTTAGCGGAGCAGTGCACCGGGATGAGGAAGCGACCTGCAGCGGACGGTAATGACCCCTCCCCAGCCATAAAATGTCTGTCTGCCTGTCTGTCTGTCTGGGGCACCGCTCGGCCTGTCTGGGGTCCATGGGCCCCGCTTTCTTCTCAGCGCTTTCTGATCTAACTTAGGAGAGCGAACTTTGCTCCTCTTGGGTTTTAAAGGCTACCTACTTGCTTGCGTGTCTGTTTATGATTTTTTAGGGCAGCATTCTGAGATTGTGTTATCTCTCATCATTCCCCTAACTGAAAACATCCACAGTTGGTCCCTGCAAGCCTTAGGGAGGTGACAGCGTTAGGATGTTGACCAGTAGCCTCCCTTGCGCTGTGGAGAGAAAGAGCTTTGAGAACTTAGAAAACACCTTCTGTTGTGTGCAAACAGCCTGATTTTGTTCCCTTAAAGGCCACTGGGAGTGAGGTCCAGGATGGTGGGTGGAGGTGGTGGGTTTTTCATGCCCTGACTCTTGGACCCACTTAATGTCAGCCATTGTTTTTCCTAATAAAGATTGTGTGTTCTTTTTCAAATTCTCCCTCGCCATTAGATGCCTCTCCTCAAAACAAAAGAGCCAACAGAACAGAAGAAAATGTTTCAGACGGTTCCCCCAACGCGGGCTCAGCGGAGCAGACGCCCAAGAAGCCCAGTCTCAGAAGACGTCAAACGTAAATGACTCGGTGGGTGGATTGCTAGGAGCAGACAACTGACACCCGCATGGGGCTGCTGGCCTTGGGTTTCACTCCCGGAGATACCCCCTCTCAGCGGTTGCTGGCAGAGTAGAACCTGTGGGTTTCTGTTTTGCTTATAGTTTTCTGAGATGAAAAATGCAGGAATAGAGAAGGTAGGGAATCACTTGTGGGGATACTGTATTTCCCACACTTTGTGTCCTCAGATCGGCTTCCCTCGAAACTGAGATGACTAGAGGAAGTGTCAGGAAAAGGACTTGGAAAAACGCTTTTTGGGTAGGAAGGTCCATGCCCTGAGCCAGTTGGAAACAATAGGGTCTTTCTCCATCTGGAGAACTGGGGTAACCCTCAGTCCCACTTCATGAGAAATTATTTCTCCGGAGGGTCAGCTTGTGTCAGTTACAAATTTTGGACCATCCTTGGGGAAAAGGCAAATAATTGATGACATTTAAATTTCGAGGGAAAAATGAGCTGCAAATCATTCCTATTTGGTTAATCAGTGGTTAGCATTGTGAATAGGAAGGTATGGTGTATTCTTTTATCTTAATCATTTTCATAAACTGTCACTTTCCCTGTTTTTTTTGATGACTTTTGAGAACAAGGAAAGAGCCAGCATACTAAAAAAAAAAAAAACAACAACAAAAAAAACAAAGTTCAGAAATACTCAAGTTCCTAAAGTATTTCTGATAACACAAGTTGCAAAGCAGAAGTTAAATTAACTCTGCCAGAGTAAGCATTCCAAGAACACGTCAGCATGTGTATGCTAATCATGCTAGAACAGGATGATTTGGGTATTTGTAGGGGAAATGGAGAATAGCCCTCAGGATTGGGGAGTGTAGGTCTGCCCTGAACAAAGGAAGTGGAGATTTTTCCATCTACTAAAATCTGATCAACATGAATAACTCATTTGAATAATTCAGCCCTCAACTGTATCTGATTGGCTTCCAATAAAAATCAAACTACATATATGAAGTTTGTAAAATTCTTACAGACAAGGACCGTGACCTCGGTTTGTCCCTAAACACTTTGTAAATGCACTCATTAAAGTCTCTAGCAAATAGAGATTTTAATCGATGTTGCCACAGATGTTTTAAATCCTCATTTATAAAAATTTAAAACTAAAAGAACATAGGGATTAAGGTTGGATTTAAGTTTAACTGTTTTTAAGTCACAATATCATATATGGATCTATATCTATAAATACATTTATAGATGACATCTTTACACCTGTAATTTTCCAGAGCTTATGCAACACAGCACTCTAGAATCTTTATGTTATAGAATTATCTGAAGAGAGAAATCGGATGACAATTTTTCTGAAGACTCCTTCTGGCCTGTTGGTTTGGGACTTATTGTGTAACTCATGAGATGAGCCACTGTATTTTAATGAGTAGATCACACGCCCTGGATTTTGATCTGGCCCCATCTGACGTGCAGAGATGAGGCATTTGTTAGTGAATATTGCCAATTCAGAGAATACTAGAAATTACTAAGGATATATTCAAAAGCAAAAGCATTCATATGTATATTCTGTTTATGACTGGGAAAACAGTATATTTTGAAAAAAAAAGTTAACAGAAATTTTTTTGGAGAGCCTTTATTAGTTCGGTTATTTTTCAAACCTGGAAAATTTTGTAACTCTTTAGTGTTACAGTTTCTTAACTTACTTTCGTATCTTGGGCCCCAATTCTATAGACCAGGGTCTTTCAACCTTTGCATGGTTGACGTTTTGGGCCATATACTTCTTTGTTGTGGGAGTGGGTCCTGTGCATTGTAGGATATTTGGCGCCATCCTTGAGCCTCTCCCACTAGATGCCACTGGGGCACACCCCACCCCCCCAGCCTCCCCAACCCCCCCAGTGTAACAACCAAAAATGTCTCCAAACATCACCACATGTCCTCTGGGGGAGCAAAATTGCCCACTGTTGAGAACCACTTGCTCTAAGCAAAAACACAACACAGAGGGAAGTAAAAACCCAGTGAAGGGAATGTTGGATGGAGATGACTATAGTCATCAATTTTGAGAACATACTTTTCCATAGCTCAGGAATTTCTCAACTGAGAAAAGGGCAAAGTAATTCCTGTACTTGATTGCTATGGACTGGGCAACAGCTTGTCTCCTAAATCTCTCTTGTTTCTTTTGCAGAATGAAGAGTATGTCTCCTTGTTTATCAGCTACATCGCTACAAGGATTATGAAGCAAGGAAGATACATTAAAAAATCTAAATACATATCTCTGACTCCATGGAATGGACATCTTGTATAAGCACTGAAAAGCAACAACACTAAAATTTTAGGCACTCTTAAATGATATGCCTCTAAAAGCATTGGATGTAGCATTGTGCAATTAGGTTTTCCTTATTTGCTTCATTGTACTACCTGTGTATATAGTTTTTACTTTCATGTAGCACATAAACTTTGGGGAAGGGAGGGGTGGGTGGGGCTGAGAAATTGGCATTGGGGTAATGAAGTGTTTGCTTCGTTTATAGCAAGGAGAAAAAATACTGGACTTGCGTGAAGATAAGCAGTTTGGGGGAAGGGTTTGAGTTATTTTCTTTAAAGATGTAATGTCCCTTTCAGTGAGAGTTGACAAAAATTGCTATTTTTACATGAAGCTTTTTCTCATTTGGGAGTGCTGCTGATTCCACATGTAGCAACAAATGGCTTTTTAAAAAAATAAACGACTACAATAAGAAGTGATCTCAGTGCTTCCCCCCCTTCCCCCAGTTCACCTCAAAGTTAGAATTTACCACCATTTGGGTAACCACTCAAGGTAATTCTGGGCAAAAATTTGGAGTGTGTCAGGGGTGTTCTGAATGCTCAGAACTGACCATCTAATTTTTATCAGACGTTGAAATAATTCAAAATCCTTGGATATTTTTTAAAAGATCTGTGAGCCACTTCATATAAAAACAATGAAATAACTTTTTACTTCAAGCTCATTTGATTTGTTAATATGCCCAAAGGAAAGTGTTTTTAAAGGAATGCGTCAAGGAAAAAAAACACTTGTGAAAAAGTGAAATGGATACTACATCTTTAAACAGTATTTTTACATTGCCTGTGTATGTGTATGAGACAACCATTTAAAGTGTACCTGTGTACATAACTGTAAAAACACTGAGAAATTATACTAACTTATTTATGTTAAAAGAGATTTTTTTTTTTTAATCTAGACAATATACAAGCCAAAGTGGCATGTTCTGTGCATTTGTAAATGCTGTGTTGGGTAGAATAGTTTTCCCCCCTTCTGTTAAATAATATGGCTATGCTTAACAGGTTGCATACTGAGCCAAGTATAATTTTTTGTAATATGTGAAAAAGATGCCAATTGTTACACACCAAGCAATCAATAAATAAAACTTCCATAGCTATTCACTGAGTTGTATTATGTAACGTAATGTGACCTGGCCTTCTCGTCCTATTTACACAAATACCGTCTGAAGTGGCAAATAGCTAGATCATTCAGATCCACGGCTCACATAATGTCATGTGGGTCCAAGTGTAGTGATCGTTATTTTCCACTTAGTTCTGTATGGGTGGAAAGGCTTTAGAAGTCGAAAGTGGAAAAGTCACATTTTCATATAAATAAGACAGTTGAAGTCTCCATTAGTTCAAATATTTATGTCTTCTAGGATATGAATGTGTCAGAACCAAATATTCTTACATAAGTGTAGACTGATCACACTTTTGGGAGGTTGAAAATGAAAGTAACATGGTGACTTCTCTAAATTCTGTTATTTACTCATGCAAAGTGTTTGAGGAATTAGAGCAATTGTTCAGGACACCTCATCCAAATTATTCAGATATACACAGTTCCTTTAGAAACTGGCAGGCATTCCATACTAATTTAGATAGAATATGTATTCAGTTAAATGCAAATTGTCATAAATTCTTCAATTTCTTAATGTCCCAATTTGTATGTACACAATTTAAAAAATGGTTCATGTAAATATCAAAATATGAGTATTTTATTTCAAAACTAAAGTTGGGTTCCCATAGCCACTTAGCAAAGAATTTTATTTTTTTACTGAAATAAAAATTAAGCCATTTAAAAGTCAGATTTACTGAAATAATTTCTGATTCTCTTCCAAATGTGTTTAAGGTGTAAAAGTAAACTTTTTCTAGGAATCTGCAAATGCTTAAATCATAGAAACCTGAATTTGGTTTAAATTGTCTCCCTCAAACACTTGCATTAACATTATTGTACCCTAAAAGGAACTCTCAAGAGGATAGTTTCAGCTTATTTTGACCCGAATATTTTTTATTATTATTAAATATTGAAAGCAGTGTCTTTCCTTCGCTACCGGCAAGGGAAAAAGTAGGTCCTTTGCTGGCCGGACTACATCTTCCCAGTAGATATTTTATTTCAAAACTAAAGTTGTTTTCGTGATTCTATTCAAAACACGCATACGGGGTGTTTTTCAGGAAGAGACTGAGAAAGCAAAAAAAAACAATTCAAAATGGGGTGGAAGGAGTAGAAAGTCAGGAAATAATGAAATCAAATGAATGTCTCTCTGAGCTCATAAGGGTACTTAAAAAAGTGACTAACAGAAGGGGGGAGTCCCTCAATTGCTGCCTGCACCCCATTTTTCTTGCTTAAAGAGGCATCTTTAATCTGGATTTCTAGAGATTGCGCTTTAGGCGCGCCGGGCCGGGCAAGAGTGGATGCCCGCCGCGCCTGGCACGTTCACAGGCAACTCAGCCCTCAAGTCACCGTGTCTGTGCCGCTCACGTCTGTGTCAAGTCCCCATACCCGTCCCCCCACGGGGAGCATTTTCCCTCTAGTTGGGGATTACGGGACCCGCGGCGGGCGTCCCTCTGAGGGGCTGTAGCCCCTCGCTACCCTCGACCTGGCGCCGTGGTGTCCCCAAACTGCCCCGCAGCCCCGCGCCTGGCCGCCCGCAGCTGCCTGTGCGGGATCGGGCTTGGCGGGCGGTCCGGCCCGAAAGGGCCATCCTGACTCGCTCGTCCGCTGCAACTTGCGGCTCCCGCAGCGCCCTGGTCGCAGAGCGCAGCCCCCGCGCCCGCGCGCCCGCAGGCCGGGGCGGGCGCCTGCACCTCGGCCCGCGCAGCCGGGCCGGGCGGTTTCTCAAAAACTTTCTAGTCTCATCCTCTCTTTTCTGGGATAAGAAAGAAGAGGAAGACCCTCTTCTCCTGCACCCACAGACCCCTCCGCATCAGTACCCTGCCAATCCCGGGGCCGCTGGGGAATCGGGGCGAAGGGGAGAGATTTCCCAATCCGTGGACCCTCCCGGGAAGCAGCCCGCTCCCACCCCTACCCCGGGCTCCAATGATCCTCCGCCCCGCGCATTTCGAAAGGCTTCCCCGCTCGCCGGCGGCCCAGGGCCGCGCAAACCAGCGGGCAGGGCCGGGCGCCACAACCGCTGGTGGGGTCGCTTCCACCCTTCCACCCGCTTTGCAAAGTCTCCCCGTCGCATCCCTGGCTGCCCTGAGCGGGGGGCTGGGCCCGGGGAGAAGCAGAGGGAAATGTGGGCGCAGGGGCATGATCTGGGGTCCGTGGCAATCGACAGGAAGGCAGCGGGGCGGGCGGCCTTTCAGGCCACCGTGCGCCCACCGCCCTGGCGCGCCGAGCGACCTTCCCCGGTGGCCGGGAACGCCGGGCTTCGCCATTTCATCCTCATCCTCATTAGCTTAAGACACTTGCTCCTCCAAAGCTTTGGGATCGAAAATGGTAGTTTTAAAGCTCGCCTAAGACCTCCGATCTGTTTTTTCAGAGTATGAATTCTGTAAAAAATCGCGTTCTCTTTCACCTGAGCCACACCCTACCCACGCCACCCCCTCCCTCGCGGCCAAATATAAGGTAACAATCGTGCCAGCAAAGCTGGGGGATGGAAGAGGGCGCCGGTCAGGGTAGGAATCCCCCCCTTACACACACCCCGTCCGGGATGGGGGGGACCTCCTAGATCTCGGCTCGTGTTGGGGTGCGGTGGGTGGGGTCGGCTCCAGGCCCCGCGGAACCGAAAGTGTAATCTTTACGCGTAAACGCCTGTCCCCGCGTGGCCGGAGGCGCACCTGGCCTGTCTCGCGTGGGCGCACACGCAGATCAGGCAGGAGTCAAAGTACAAAAGTGCCCCCCGAAGGGGACCCGCAGGCGTGTTGCGCGCGAAACCTCGACGCGCCTCAAAAGGAACGTTACGAAAAGGCCGGAGCGGGCGCGCGCCGGGTCCCGGGCGGGGGATTGCATCATCGCCGCTCCCCCGCCAGAAAATGGGCCCGAACCGCGGTCACCATCATGGCGCTCGGGCCGGGCCGCGCTTCCCGCGCGCCTTCCCCGAGCGCTCGGGCCGCGGGCGCGGAGTCTCGAACCGGCATTTTGCAGCGCTCCCCCCTCCTCCGTCCAGGGCCCGGCCCCTCCCCAACCCCCTTTTGTGTGTGTGCGTGCGTGTGTGTGTGTGTGTGTGTGTGTGTGTGTGCGCGTGTGCGTCGGTGTGAGCACGGGCTGGAGAACTTGGAGATATTTTTTTCTTCTTTCCCCCTCCCGTGCTGGTGGTTGTAAACTTGATTGGCATTGGCTGCGCCCACTGACCCCTGCGCCGAGTCCACTGAAGATTTAAGGTGGATCGGAGCGGAGGCCGCGACAGGCGGAGCCTCACGCTTTGGCTGGTTTGGAAGGGAAAAAAAAAAAAACTCATGAAAACACCCCAAACCCTGGGCCAGCCAGGCTGCGCGAATCCCCGCGCGCACCAGCCCCGGCGCGCGCCCCGCCCGCCGCGCCGAACCTCCGCCCCCCCGACTGCTTCCCATTGGCCCGCGCCTGCAGTTTGAATTTTTTTTGGATGCTTGTTTTCTTGTTTAAAAAAAAAAAAAAAAAATACAGTACCCCATAGCGTACGCTGGAACCTACTTCGGAGAGCAGAAGTGGGGTGTTTTAGCTGGTTTTGTGGAGGCTGCAGGGAGGGGCCTGGAGGGGGGCGGGGCTTCTGTTCCAAAATTCCCCCCCGCCACCCCCTCCCAAAGTGCGGTTGACAGTGTGCAGGCGGGTGGGGGAGCGCGGGGCTGCTGTAAAGCAGCGGGAGAAGCCTTGGCGCGGGCAGAGATGTAGTATAAAACGTTAATGGATGTCCAGGGCGCGCCGCTTCCCCGGCTGCTAGCCAGAGGTACCAGGGAGGCGGTGGCAGGAGCCCAGGCAAGTATGCACCTTCCCTGCGTTGGAGAGGTAGAATGGCGAGAGGGTGGGATGGTGAAGGTGGCCCGGAAAAGAACTCCCACTACCGAGAGAAAAAAAAAAGAGACAGAGTCGAAAGAGACACAGAGATGAGTCGAGAAGGGGGTGGGGGATGAGAGAGAGAGAGGGAGAGAGAGAGAGAGAAATGCAAATCTAGCAAAAATGTAATATTTCACTCGCCACCCAGTTAGAATCCATCATCATTCAGGGAGTCGGTGTCATTTTTACTGAATTTTTAGAAA